AAATTATTTTTTTTTTTTAGGTATTCCCTGTACTAAGCACTGGGGAATAATACTGCAGGCATTGTGAAAGTGTTGTCTGAAGGAAAATCACAATATTTTAAAGCACAAACCTGTGCCTGCTACTGCCAGATGGCATTTCTCGGTCATGTAAAATAACATGCTAATGTAAATACGCAGATGAACTGGAAATTGCCTTTTTTTGATCAACGGGTTGCTAGCAAGTTGTTGGTAATTACATGGAGATGAATGGAAGACGTTCAAATGGGCAACTGAGTCAAACGATAGAATGATTTTTTTGTAATCTTGCACACTTTGTATTGCTGTGTCATATGGAAGTGTCATACATACATTCAGTTGGACAGAAGAACAGAACAAATGCAGTTTGGAGCTGAAAATAAAAATAAAGTAGTGACCTAGCTGATTGTCTTGCTGGGTACCCTGTAAAATATGAACAAGAATGCCTGGGCTGTTTTAATTTATATTTATCTCAGCTTTTTATTTGTTTAATGTGAACTTTTAATAATTTCGTAGTTTAACCTTGCAGGGACCTAGTCTCCTTTTGCTGTCATCTGGTTTGCACGTACTTTTTTTCCCCACTCAGCTTGCCATGCAGCACTTTTGTAGTGATTATCTAATGCTGCAGTTTCCCTCCTACTTAGGTGGAGGTCCTTACCATTTCTGCAATACTGTTATTCTTATTCCACACTGGGGCTAAAAGATGAGAAACAGTGAGCCTGCGTACTGACTCCAAAAGCCTGCTTTTTCTTGTCCTGAATCAGACTCTACTGTCACGGGAAGTGAATTTGTTTGGATGTGTTTAATTGCAGCCTGCATTTCACGGGGATGTGTACGTTTCTGATGGAATGACTAAAAGCCTCTAGCATTAGTCAGGCTGATCTGTAAATCATTTATCACCAATATTCAGCCTACCTATTCCCCAGCAACAGAAAAGGGAATCCCAAAGAAGGCACAGTTTGATGCATTAGTCTCAGGTGGGCCCCTCTCTTTTTTTTCTCACCATTTCTCCACAACGTTGCATCCAGCAACGTTTCCTCTCCAGAGGTGGGAAAGGACTGGATGCATTTCATTCTGATGGCTGACAATATTTGGTGATGATGTACTCTGTAGAGAGCTGAGTACTAGAACATGCCTGTTGACCCTCTGCTCTCCTCCTTTGCACAGGCCTGTCCAGTGGTCAGTCCCTGCCAAGGCAAGGGCACCATATTTCAGAGCCTAACCAAAGTTTACTGCCACTGTCCTGTCAGACTGGCTGCAGACTATGCAAGTGTGAGGAGAAAAGCCCTCTGGCAAGCCAGGCATGTTAGATGTACCCAAGTGGAAAGTCAATGAGTTGGAGGCTGCATGGGGGGACTATGATGGAAGAAAACATCCTTATCCGTGGTTTGTCACTCACACTAACCGTTGTCTCTCTTGTTCTCTTATCTTCCCCAGGAACGAGTGGAATATCTCTTTCTCATAATTTTTACAGTGGAAGCATTTTTAAAAGTAATAGCATATGGACTTCTCTTTCACCCCAACGCTTACCTCCGCAATGGCTGGAATTTACTAGATTTTATAATTGTGGTAGTAGGGTGAGTACAACGTTTTGTCTTTGAAGGCGCTGCACACATGGGGATACTGGCAACCTTTGAGAGCATGAGGGTGGGTGAATGCTTGGTACATTACGCATGGGTGACATTAGAGGTTGCTGTCCATCATGTTCCTCCTACAACCACCATTTGTTCCTCCTGTGTTAGCCCCGCTACAGATTCCGTGTTTTACCAAGTTTTACTGTGTAACCTAAAAATACAGTTAACTCACTGGTCTTCTGCAGGTATAACTTGATTCATGCTAATTTCAGTGTGTAGCGGTGATTTATCTTGAAGTGAATATTAACAATTGATGATCATTTGATGTACGTTTTCTGTCTGGTATCCCTTGCTGCTTAGCCTTTTCCAAGGCTTTTAATGGTTTGGAAGACATGGAAACTAAACTGCTCTTTGGGAACAGGGATAAAAAGACGAAGCAGTGCAAGGCTGTTGGACAAAGTAAAATGCCTGAATATGCTTAACTGGAAGAAAATTCTTTTGTTTGTAAATCTGCATGAATATTTAGAAAGAATATCTAGATGAGATCCTTTAAGTTCAGAGTTGGATGACAAATAAATTCTGCTATCTTGTGAACTTTTACTGATTTTTCTCATTTTCAAACATGGATGAAAAATTTAAATCCTAAGTTTTCTTAAAACCAAAAATAAGTTCTTCAGTTCAGTTGCATTGTTCTGCTACAGATTTCAACACTTTGGATTTTTGACCCTTTTAATGTTTTAACCTTTTAAAAGACTAATTTTACAATTGTAGATCAAATTGGTACTTTGAACTGCAACCTTTCTAATCCCCTTATTCCTCTCTGTTGTTGTTCAAGCTTGGTATTCAATTTATTTGAATAAAAGCAAAATAAAACACCTTCTGTTTTTTCTACCTAAGAGTAAGAGATAAGCAAGGGGGTTGAATTGTGGTTGTTGAAGGGAAGAGGTGAAGGATAAACTATCCCTGAAGACAAAGATAACAAGTATTTCTTTGAGTAATTTGTCCCATCCTCCCACCACTTCATTGTTAAAGAGTTTAATCGCCCACAAGAACTTGCCGTCTTTTTACCTCCTCACCAAGGAAACCCTGCATCACCTCCTAGGGAAAATGTCAAAAGGGACATTTTCAGTCATCAAAACCCCCTCATAATTTTTGCCCAAAATCAAAGTCCATCTAGCTTCTTGACTATTTTTGTGGTGACCCCAGAAAAATATGTCAGCAAACTGCTGTGTGCTACCCTATCCCTACTGCTTTCCATTATCATGGGGAAAAGTGAGTGGAAGGAGGATTCCCCATGAGTGGGAGGGAGGATAAGCTGGAACCTATTCTTAGTCCCTCGACCTCTCTGCCTCCACATGGGCATAACGCTTCTCCTTACGGCAGTGCCCAGTTGTCTTTCTCCTTCGTTCCTACCTGCAGCCAGAGGATCCCACAGCAAATTTGTAATTGGAAATTGTAAAACCCTCAACCCCTCCCTGGTTTTCATGTCCAATTCCTTAGTTGGTTCTGCCTTTGAATGCCTTCAAATAGCTCACCTGCCTGGGAATTGCTGCTTAAGTTGAAGAAAGATTGGAGAACAAAAGTCTTGTGAATATGATTGTTCCCTTTGCATTTTTATGAGAAAGAGACTTTTTAAAGAGAGGATGTATTACCTCTTCTTTTTCCATTGCAATGCAAAAGAGCCAGGCTCCAAAAATCAGAGGGCAGCATTATATCTAGTTTAAGTACAGTCCTTTTCAATTTTCCTACTAGGGCAGTTAATCAGCAAGATGATATTCAGACTGAAATTAATTCCCTTGCCAATGACAGAAGCTGCAGCTCTCAGCTCTTCTATCTGTTCTTGCCTCCAGCAGCTCTCAGTCACTAGATAGGGAACAAAAAAATGTAACTGCGGAGGGATTACATGAGTATAATAAACATGGCCAAGACCCCAAGGTCTCTGTTAAATAGTAACAATCTCAAGTGACAGATTCCACTTCAAGGCCAGATGGGTTCCTTTGATGTTTATCTGTTTAAACTCACTGGTACAGTACCACAGCATAGGCTGATGCACTGCTTTTTCTCTCCACAACCCCTCTGCAAAATCTACACGGTGATACCATCTGTTCCCATTACTTTACTCTGTCTTCTCTTCCTAGGGGTTGTCTGAAACCCCTCAATGACATTATGTTTAAATCTCAGTGTATTTGAATATTTTGTCAGGGAGGAAGTCCCATGGAAAAGGTTTAAAATGAGTTTTAAAGAGAGAGGAGGGGGAAGGCAAGTGCCGATAACAACATTTCCTTGTGGTGCCTTTTTCTGCCTATTGATGGAGCTATTGGAGAAAGCTGAGTAATCTGGACACAGCTGTAGCACTGGGCAGAGGGATTTATTTGGTATGTGGGGAAAAAGATGGTGTGGGACTTACACTGGAAGCGTCAAGTCCCAAAATGACTGTGGTAATTGCCATTCGTGCTTGTTCTGCCTTAGGAATCATCTTCATTTTCAATGATGATTGTCCTTGCTACAGAAAATAGAAATACTAGGTGGGAAGTATTTCTTCAAGTACTGTTGGAAGTTAAAGGAGAAAGAAAAAAAAAAAAAGATTTTAGATCCTTTAATTGTCTCTAACTCCACCTAGTATACCCAGCTTATCATGTATATCTCGAAGAGAGAATACAGCACAACGGGCTTCCTTTATGTTAAAACATACAAGTCGATAGAGAAAGAGGAAATTGAACACGTGTAGCATGGAGCATAAATTCTAGAGGGAAGTCTCAGTTTTTATAAAAAATTTTTATAAAAATGTGCCTGTATACTTTCCCATGCCTTCTGAAGATAGGTCCCCTGGCATCGAAAGGGATCTGAGAGTCAGTGGTTCTAAGGAGGCCACAGAAGTATGCAGCAGCAGAGGCGAGCACTGAACACAACTGCTACGTTTTCTGGAGAAAGGACGCGCTGTATGTAGACCCGTAGGCTTGTAACAGCTCATTGTTCTTGCAGTGTGGGAGATATGCTTATTCATCAGCTAAGTCTTTTAAAGCTTGATTCTAGCTTATCTTTTAATAGCCTATGACCTTGCTATGGCAGCACCATTAAATGCTACTTTGAAGAAAAATGTCTGTATGGAGGTATCAATCAGAGACTCTCTGGATAAGAACATTATTAGTTAAGAGTAGAGATCACATCCCTAAGCTGCCTAATGAGGCACAACCCACAAACACTAACGATTAGTCAAATTGTATCCTGCTTCCTTCAGTTTTACTGTTCCTCTTTTGGAAAGCATTAAACTTTCAGAGAGAACAGTGATGTCCTTTAATATTAAGCTGTTGGAGGAAATTTCTCTTGAGAGAAGACTAACTTGACAATGTTGTGCTAGAAGAATATCTATCTTTCCTAGCAGTGCTGTGGTTTGTCTGCCAAACACAGTCATTCTCCAAGGGCCCTTAGCTTCTGCCAGAAAAAAGGTGCTGTAATTGGAAAGGCAGTGTTACTTAAGAAGGTAAGCAGTGAAGGTATTTGGAAAGGATGTGAAATTAAGAGCAGACTGGAAAATGTGGTCACAGTATATGTCTTTCTGAAGACCCGTGGCAAGTTTCTAAAGGGCAGACCCAAACACTTTCACACTCACGAATCACAGATGAAGTATAAAACATTGTGAAAAAAATCATTGTACTTTACTATTTCTTTATACCTATGAGGATTCCTTCAGCTATGTTTTTCTGCTGATTTTTGGCCTTAGAAATACCAAGCCCTCTGTTTTCTCTTTATATTCTGGAGGCCCTTGACAAGTTCTTTTTTTATGCTATAAAAATCAGTGTGCCTTCCCACAGAGGAAGAGATGAATAGCTGTAGAGCAGGTTACAGCCTTATCATGCTGCTGTTGGGGTCATCTAGCAAAGTGAAAACCTTTTTGGTATTTCAGATGTCAAAAGGGTAACAAAAAAACATAAGAAAGAAAAACAGTGAGACTAGCTTCATAGCTCACAAGTAAATGTAAAAAAATATATAAATAAGGTGGAGTGTGTCCATGCATGCATGCATGTGGTAGAAATTTATTTATTTTCTGCTTTATAGTTCATGTGTGTCAAATGAATTTAGTTCAGGTGTAGTCATGTCACTAGTGAAATTCAGAAATCAAGATACTGTTAACTGTGCTTCACCATTGGAAAGTACTATTTCCAAATGAGAATGGGCATGAGTTTAGGCTGATGGAAAGTAGTTAGCTGGAAGGAAATAAGATTGATTTGTGTATTTTTTTTTTTTTTAACTTCAAAATGGTAAGATTTTCAGTGGCCACAAGAGATTAGGTCTCTTGCATTTTTATACCATCCAAACTTTATCTGTCAGCACAGTGTTCTCTCACCATGCTTGGATCATGCGTTTCAGCTAACTCACCTACTGAGAAGAGAAGGAAAGAACCGTACCTCACTCCACCATACCTACTGTAAGCTTTTCCCAGAGGTTTTCATCAAAGAGCAGACTTTGCTATTTAAATATAGGGTAGAAGGACTCTGGCTTCCTGTTATGTATCAGTATCTTAACATTTATCCATCTCTTTTAGGACTGGAAAGCAATTAGCTGAAAAACTAGAGTCTTTAGAGCTCATAGAAACTCCAAATTGGATATGGGTTGTGGGTTTTTTCCTTAATAGAGGATAATGGAAGGGGCCGTCAGAAGCCTTACCTTTCTTCTGTGTCTTATCATTGGTGCTATTTTGGAACAGGATTTTTTATTATTTTATTATTTTTTCCTCCCCTCTGTGTCATAACAAGTTACAACCGAAGAAGCATGTGATAGTTGTAGTCTCTGAGTCATAAATGTCTGCCCATGCCCTAACTCTGGAGGCAATGGGGACAATGAAGTAGGATTGGCAAGATGTACTATAAATTTGGAGAGTGGAGTAGAGATTCGGTAGGCTGGACTGGGCACAGCCTAGACCCCAGTAGAAAAAGGGAGAGTCAGTGAAATAAATGAGAGAAATAAAAAGTTGTATTGTATTAGTAAAAAGCAGGATTAGGACAGGGGGAGATATTAAGCACGGAGTAAATGCATTAAAGCAGGATTAGCAGGAGTAATGCAATTCAAGTTTAAATGTAGGTTTTTAAATGAGGAGCA